AACACAGTAAATTATTAGCAATAAATAAGCTCGCGAGGGAAAAAGTTCATGTAGAAAATTATTAATATAACGTGAAATTAGGTCTTCTTTAAAAGGAAATTATATTTTCCAAGAATCATTTCATAAAATTTTCTATTGAAAAAATAGATTGGAATCCTTTGTCAACAAAGTTTGCATTAATCTTTTCAAGATAAAATCTTTTTTATAAAATATTTTACTCTCATAGGCATTTGAAATTTAAAAATACGTTTTTCCATTCTTTCTGAATAAATAGGTATTATATCCCATATCCTCAAAAGAGTTAAAAATGATTCCCGTGAAATAGTACAGAGATTAGGAAAAAAAACTTAAATTTAGTTCTAAACACAAACATGTTTATTCATTCTTATCATTAGCAATTTAATTATTATTTTGAAAGAAAAACACATTGTGATAAATTTATGATTACATTAAACATTTTAGAATTTTCTTCATCTTTAAAAATATTTTTAAATACAATTTATTTTGTGAAAACAGCTATTTATATGCGATGTTTATTAAGCATATTAATGTTGAGTGTTTTATGGCGTAATAAAGGCAAATATCACTTTAAAAAGTTTTCTTTTATTTTAGTTTCAATCCATCTACCCTTAAAGTAATAAATCGTAAGCAATTTATTTAATTAATCAAATTAATCTCTCTAGCACAAATCTAAAAACATCTTATACAGACCTATACATTTAAACAGTAGCGCACACAGGAATTTTTCAAGGGGGTGGGGGTCCGTGGTCGAAAGTTCATTCTTGTATCATGCTCCTTTAGATTTTGCCGATTTTCGGGAACAAAACACAGTAAAAACTGATTATTGAATAAATAATTATCATTAAAAAATAAAATTAATCATTAATAACAAATACTTAATTAAATTTTACGCACTATATACTTAGAATTATAATAAATTGGAAAACAAATCAAGGGTTTTTTGGGGGTGGGGGTCCCGACCCCCAGGACCCCCCCCTTGTGTGCGCTACTGCATTTAAAACCTATTATACTCACATTTAATATGCTCAAATTTACGTACTGGTTGTAAGTAGGATTCTGAAGCCCTTGTCTGTCATTTTTAAAACAAGTATTTTGATTTCAAAATTAATTAAGTATAATAATTAATTAAAAAATTAAGTTGACGCGCGAAAATAAAAAAAAATCATTTAAGTGTTTACTACCTCTTAAAATATTTTAGATTTATTTATCTACTTTATTTATCTAGCTTTACTTATCTTTATTTAGCTATTATTTATTTGCAACAGTTTCGTTTATTAGTTTCGATATACTCATTGTATTTTCTAAATAAAAACCAAGGATTTTACATTAATTCTTGCCTCAGAAAGAAACATTATGTTCTGAATTTAAAGGAATATCTTATTTATGTGCCATTATTTACATTTACCCACATTTTCACAAAAAAATATTTATTTAACTTTAATTGCTTAACACATAGTATTATTATTTAATGATCCAGTGTATACATTATATTTGTTTCATTAAATATACACTAAATGCTTTCATCAGAAAAAAAAGTGTAGGTGCACTTATGCACGCACGTAAGAAGTTATACTTCTTTGGCGTAACAAGATTAAAGTATTTCTAAAAACCTTGAGCAGGGCAAGCTAGGTCAAGGACGAAAGGCGGTCACGAGCAGAGTTGAACGATACTAACCTTCAGTCAATCGGACCAGCCAAACCCGAGATAATCACGATTTAAATAAATTTAAACACCCCCGTACAGGGACAATAGGACCAATAACAAGGGGGTTGGCAGAACCTACCTGGAGAGGAGTTGAACCGAATGTGACACCTGAGACCTCACATTGAATGACTCGGTGGGAAGAATCGTTCCTGAGAATATTAAGACACCCGCCTGAAGAGCCCCCCAGTTATGGTAATTTTAAAATAATTAAAACATTTAAAACAATTAAATAAACTAGAAACAGTTCACCTAACAACTCTAAACTGGACCTGGTTGTAAGGAAACACAAAAGGAATCCATTCGAACTGATCCAGAGTCTGAAGATGCAAATGGGGAGGTGCTAGCTCGGGAAAGGAAAGCGAAACTAACTCCCCCCGGGGGGGCAACGGTGACATAAATGGTCACGTACATCCCAACGATAAACAGAGTAGAAGGTGATCCCAAAGTTTCATCCTTCTATCTATGTAATATCGTTACGTTATCAAAAGATGGAGCCCTATAGGAATGACAAGGGGATTCTAATGTTAGTGATAACGCTCCCCCTAAGAGCCCACTGTCTCCACACGAATTATAACAGATGAAACAGCTCAACGAGGAGAACCTATGGTCCGAGTTTCATTAACGAATTTCAAAAATCCTCGGAGCTATGCGGGATTTTTTTAAAAAAAATATAACTTTATAGTTTAAAAATGCTAAATATGGGTGAAGAAATGGGGCTATGGTCCTGAAAAAAATATATCTAGGTTGCTCATAGAAAGAACAAACGAATCCAGCCGGTGTGGTCAACCAAGGAGACATAGGATTCGAGTTATTTTTGGGGAAGCCCTTTAGGGGGGGAGGGGGCCAATTCCACATAAAGCTCGCGCTAATACGAAAATATGGCGGACCACCAAAAATCAAGTTCCAAGCTCAATTGCTTAGGGGGGTGAAATTTTTTCCAGTTCCCATAGGATTAACATGAGAGCATGATATTTTAGTGCTTAAGCCCTCCCTACGCTTGCACGATGGGAATGCAGTAGATGACTGGATGGGTCTCGACGAGTGTAACAGTTGGTTCAAATACAATGCCCGAGACTTGAACAGGAGCCAAGATATTGTGAATTTAAACAAATTAAAAAAGTTTAACACAATTAAAAACTATAGAAGAAATAGCCCTATGAGCATGGACTTATAATAATTGGAAGAGCAGATAGGGAGGGATCGAATGAGCCAGGTCCGAATGGACTGGGAGGCTCGGGTGCCGAGATATTGGCCAAAAAGCTGTAGAGGGGGACGCACAGGGGGGATACATCCCAACAGATATAGTTTATAACAATAGTTATTATGATCCCCCAAATAACAGTCCCATAGCACCAATAAAGTGGCATGTTAAAATACACTTTGTCGCAAAAAAATATATGCACCCAGAAGAAATTGAGCTACATTCACGAAATTTGGTATGCATGTAGTGTATAAGAAAATAAACAAAAGATTAAAAATTCAGAACAAAATATCATTTTATTAAGCGGTTACAGTTTGCAAAAGGTTAAAAATCAGTAAGTAGTAAAGCCACCTCTGGCAGCTATACAAGCCGAAATTCGGCGTGGCATCGATTTAATTAGATCGCTTATGACCCCCTGTGGAAGATCCTGCCATAGTCTTTGCATCTGCGCAGTTAATTCTCCTGTATCTCGGGACGGCTGCAGTTGCCTTCCCAGCGCGTCGCAGACATGCTCTATTGGCGAAAGATCTGGTGACCTGGCAGGCCATGGTAGGACGTCATATCCTTGAAGACATTGTTGGGAGAGTCGCGCAGTATGTGGACGAGCATTATCTTGTTGATAAATGGCACCTGGGCGACTTGATAGCATGGGTAGCACAATCGGCGTTAAAATATCGTCCACGTATCTGCGAGCTGTCAAAGTGCCTTGAAGGACCACTAAAGATGATCGTGTGTCCCAAGAAATTGCTCCCCACACTGTCACACCTTGTGAAATTGCTGTATGCCGCTCGACAATAAATGCCGGATCGGACCGCTGGCCGCTGCGCCTCCAGACACGTGTGCGGTGGTCATCAGCACTGAGACTGAATCGGGATACATCACTGAAGATGACACGTCTCCAGTCTGTCACACTCCAAGTTGCCCGAGGTCGGCAAAAATCCAGTCGACACTGCCTATGATGTGGGGTCAGTGGTAAGCGTCTTAGCGGACGTCGGCTCCTCAAGCCAACTTCGGTCAGTCGTCTCCTTATGGTTTCTCTTGATGGCACTGGATGTCTGGAAGGAGGTAAGTGGCGTTGAATCGATGCTAGCGACGTTGTTGGTGCCGAAGTGGCCACTCTTCTGATTGCACGATCCTCGCGATCATTTGTGTTCCTGGGACGTCCTGACCCTCCGCGACGGTACACTCTACCTTGTGTGATCCACTGTTGCCAACACCGAGCAACTACCATATCGCTCCGACCGAGGTGGCGGCCGATACGTCTATTCGACCAACCTGCTTCTCTGAGGCTTATTATACGGCCCCTATCAAAGTCCGTCAGCTGCTCGTACTGCCGCTGGTTACGTCTTAGAGGCATCCTAAGTCTCAATATCGTCTATAAAAGTCATCAGATTCGTTTGGATGGCCGTACGGCGCTCGTACTCATGCTTTTAAACTCTCCCAGTTGCGCAACTAATATGCGCATAGCACACTTAGCCTTGTCTCATTGGCTTCGAAATTTTAATCATTTGCATATCTCTTACCAAACTACATTCTTGCCGAGTTTCGTGATTGTAGCTTGATTTCTTCTGGGTGCATATATTTTTTTGCGACAGAGTGTATTAGGCAACGGTGTGCGCGCGCATCGGTATCGTGAAGGTATGCGCGTGCATCTGTGACGGTGTGCGCGTGCACGTAAAAATTTAACCTCATTCTTTTTCCCTAACTCCCAAAAAGAAGTATAACTTCAAAATAAAAGAGGCTCTTACAATTTACCACAACGTAATAAATGTGTTTATGTTCATCGCAATACGTTCGTAGTAAATACATCTATAATCATATATACTTGCACACACACAATTATTATTTAAATAGGTAAACTAATATTTACTCTTATGTTTTATGTATACATGAAACACAATTTAAAGATTAATTTAGTAATACTTTTTTTTTTAATTTCCTGTCTAAGTATGTATAGTTTAATAACAAAAAAAGTGTTCAAAAAATGCATCAGAGGAGCTCCGCAGGCGAAGGACGAACTATCTCTACCAGCAGTGACGTCACAAATCAACGCAAAGCAAATTTTCGCTTACGCGAGGGTATAGCTCAGTGGTAGAGCATTCGACTGTAGATCGAAAGATCCCCAGTTCAAACCTGGGTGTCTCCTTCTTCAGGAAAGTGAAAAGAAATATTTTTTTTTCTGAGAATTTTGAAGGCGGGAATGATCTGTCCTGTTTTGTATATTTCTAGACAAAGTATTTTTGCATCCGTGACGGTGTGCGCGGGCATCGTAAAAATTTACCCTCATTCTTCTTCCCTATCACCCAAAAAGAAGTATAATTTCAAAAAAAAATATTTGTGCATCTATGTGCTAAAAATATGCTCAAATATTAAATCATGCTGGGGTTTACTTTCGTTCATTTTTCAGAGAGAAAAAAAATGCATACTTAGATATACAGGACCTTGCCGGCTGGGTGGCGTGGTTGGTTTGTCGCTGGTCTTCTGACCCAAGGTCGCAGGTTCAACCCCGGTCAAGTCGTTGGATTTTCAAGAAGAAAATCAACAACAACCATGTCGTATGATTATACGGCATGTAAAAGATCCTAGTGTGCCTGTTTGGGTTGGGTGCTCGCGGAAAAATTTAATCCTAGTACAGATTCGCATCGTCAAAGCTCAGGTGCCTCCCTCTAAGGAAAAAAAAAAAAAACTGGGCGTCCAAATTATCTGCGTGCGGTGATTGATATTCGCTTATGCGGTGCCGAACTAAAAAGAATGAGATTCCAGCTTCCGGGAATGTACTAGGTCTGCAATGGTAAAACACTGATCCGCAGCCCATTAGAAATAAAAAAAATACACAAGACCTAGTCTTGAACTTATTTTATGTTTTCTTTAATTCCGAACAGCTATCACATTTATTTCGAGTATCAAATACGATCTTATTCATAATCGTTGGAATAAGGTACTGAATCATTAGTTACTAATGATATAATAAAGATTTAACACAGGACATACTAGCATGAAATCAGGAAAAAATATTTGACAATGATAACAAAAACACATGAATCATTACACATATTATTGTTTCATGAGGAAACATTTAAAATGTAGCATTGTTAAAGTATAAATCAGGGTTCCTTAAGTATGTGATAGTTAATAATTTATTAAGTGCGAATGAATTAATTTAATATGCGTTAATAAATATCAATCAGCAATATATTTGGATAAATTCGTAAATTGTTTTGTTCTATGTTACATTATGCATAGTTTCTACAATATATATTTTAATGCACGAATATACGCAAAAGAATTTTTAAAAGCATGTGCGTATTTGCACACAAACACATATAAAGAGCAAGATTTTTTTCTCCAGTGATTTTCAAAGGTTAATTCACAAAAGCATTTCAGAGCAACTTTTTAACATTACTTTATAAAAATTTGATTACATTTTTCTAATACATTAAGTTTAACAAAACTTCAGGGTCTTTATCTATCCCCCTTCTTTTTTTTGCCAACCTATACCACGTACTGTAGTAATTTGAAACATTGTACAAGACAAAAATACTAACACAGATGCAATGTTGCATGCCGAAAAAAGCGTACTTCCAGAATAATGCAAGCGACGCCAAACAAGGAAAATAAACAACCTTTAGGCCGATCACAACACTGTACTTGAAGGAAGAAAAACCACCCGGAACGGTTTTAAAAATCATCGCAAATTTCTTCTCCGTCTCATTACTCTCCCGGATTCAGCAGTAGAAAAGCCGGACAGGACAAAAAAGGCCAATGGTTCGGAGTGGAGGCAAAGGGCGAAATATGAGCCATTGGCCGTGAATTATATTCAGGCTCATAAAGGAAAGGAAAGGGAAACGTGTTTCCAGGAAGATACAAATTCCGGTCGTAACTCAGAGGTATGCTTTAGAACGACAAAGGGGCAGGGGGACATTCCACAATAGCAGTGTCATAATAGGTGCTTTCGAATCACAGCGTGGGGATGGTCGAAATACCTGTTTCCACCATGGAGGATGAAGCGGTTTTCTTTTCTTTTTTTTTTTTCTATAAGGGCATAGAGTGGAAGAAAGGATTTTTAGATAAATGTATTTCAGGAAGAAATGCCCCAACAAATATTTTATGCTACTAGATGCTATGCAATTGGTCACTTGAAAGAAGATACAAAAGAAGATTGTTGTGAAATCATTTGGCAAAGTGAGTCAACAGGATAAAGTGACGACGCAATAATTTTTCTAACTCAATATAAGCTATTTTTATATTTAAAGCATTTCTCTACCGCAGTGATTTTTATATTTACATCCAAAAACGCTTTTGAGCGATGAATAATAGGCGGTCATTTTATATATTCTGTTATTATTTGTAGATAAAAAAATGTAGATATATTAGATAAGAGCTTTGCTATTTTTAGTATTTGTTTTACATTATCTTTTCATGTATTTTTATGCTTATATTTTATAAGGTGTTACTGCTAAACATGCTTTGATACTACAGACAATAATAAATTATTTTTTTGTAAAATAAGGATTATAAAACGTTACATTTTTAAAGATGTTTAACAAAAATAAGCTCGAATATTTCAAAGTTTCAATAAAAAAGCTGGTTATATTGAAAATAGTATTGAAATTTTAAATTACACTGGCCTCAAAAAGTTAAGGTACAACCGGGTTTTTGTGTCTAATTTGCAAATGAATGAATGTAGAAACAAAAAATTTGGAGGACATGTGCATTAAATAGTTTTTTATTGAATGCGTCATAGAAATTTGTATAAGTGTATTGCAAAAACGATTTATAACAAAAAAAGCAATCTCTGCGGAAAAGTCCATTCTTGGAGAAAACAGCACATCACAGTGTTATGTGGTAAAATGGCATAAAAACAATACAAAAATGGGTTCTAATAAGGAATGTGTCCACCCCTAACTTGAATGCATTGGCGGCATCGATTTCCCATGCTGTTTATTAAGTTGTCGGACACCGGAATAGGAAGCGAAGACCAGACACAGAGTAAGCCTTGTTTCAGCTCATGTAACGACCTTGGAGGAGGATTTAAAGCAGCAACCTCTCTGCCAAGATATTCCCAAAGATGTTCTATCGGATTCAGGTCTGGAGATCGAGCTGGCCATTCCATTCGTTCCAAACCGTGATCCTCCAGATACTCCTCAACAATCCGAGCTCGGTGAGGTCATGCATTATCTTCCATCAGAATAAAGTCGTTACCAATAGCAGCAGCATATGGGCGGACATATGGATCAAGGGTCTCATCCCGATATCTAAGACCAGTTACGGTTCCTCCATGGAACACATGTAGGTCAGTGTGGCCACCGAGCGAGATCCCTGCCCAAACCAGGATTCCACCACCTCTATAACTGTGTCTTTCAACAGTGTTGGATTGATGGTATCTAGTGCGCTGTTCCCTCCAGATCAGTAGACACCCTGAATCACTCTCCATTGTAAATCTGGACTCGTCTGTGAACAGCACAGAAGCCCATTGTTGCTGCGTCCAAGAAACATGTTCTCTTGCCCAGCATAAGCGGTTCCTTCGCTGTCGTCCGTTGAGGGGAACGCACACAACTGGTCTTCTTGCATACAGACCTGCATTGTGAAGACGATTTCGCACCGTAGTAGCGGAGATTCTTCTTCCTGATGCTTGAAAGTGGTCTGCAACGAGCTGCGGCACAGTAGTGGTTCTTCTCCTTCGTGCCGAAAGAGCTAGAAAACGGTCTTCTGCAGGTGTTGTAGCTCGTGGTCGGCCTGGAACAGGTCTTCTGGACACAGAATCTTCGGATTGGTATTGATCCCAAAGTCGCTGAACAACACTACGAGACACATTGAGACGTCTAGCAGCATCAGCCTGCGACAATCCCATTTCCATTCATCCAACTGCCCGCCACCTTAACGAATTGGGTAAACGACGTCTCTGAGACATTTTCTAAACTCTATTGACTATTGTCACCGAAACTGCCAACAACTGTTGAAAATCAACACAACTTACACACAAAAGTACGAAAGCTTGATATTTGCATATTTTTCTCTCACTCATAAATATACGTTCTTTTCTATAAAATAAAAGTTGTAGCAATCGTTTTTGCATTAATGTTTTTAAAGTTCGTTATTATCATTCCTGTAAACTATGCATTTTATTGTTACTGCCATTTTTTTTATGATGAGCTTCGAAAAACATGTTGTACCTTAACTTTTTGAGGCCAGTGTATACATATATATATATATATATATATATTTATTGTAAGGATCTACTGCCTGCACCTGACAACAGGTCGAACGAGAAAACGATATAGAGAGAAGGATCTGGCAACGAGACGGAGAGAAGGGTCTGAACGAAGAGAGAAAGGAGAGCTGTGGCGCGAAAAACGTGGTCGGATAAATAAGAGGTGGCTGGATGATGTATTCTAATCTTGTAGCATCTTAATATATTCTTTTTTTTTTAAGAAATGTACCATAGAAGGCGTGGAATAAAACAGAGGGACAAAATCCTGACTGCAATTACTTTCGTTTCACAATTCGAACACGACCCGATACGAAAAGAACCCACAAGTTTACAATTATATATATATATATATATATATATATATATATATATATATAAAATACATTCTAAATCGTTATGAATCTGATGAAGAAAAACAAAGTAGTTGTATAAGAAGGCAGTATAGGTCAGAATTAAATTAGCCGCCGTAGTACAATAGTAAATTCAGCTTTAGGAACTACTATTGAAGTTTAAGCATTGTTTCCAGGCCTCTCACCTGTTATTTGCTTATACTACTGGGATGCAATGTGTATGTATATTAGAAAAACTTACAGCAGTAGACTGCTATTTTAATGGGTACCACATACAGCTGAGGAATAATATACTTTTTGCATTCTGAATTTTTTAATTAGCGATAAGTTGATTTATTGTTGTATTTAATATGGCAGAAGAAAAAAAAGTTATTAATCTATAATTTGAATTAAATGTTGAAAAGAGAAACATTAGAAATGAAAAAAAAATATTTTTCTATCGATGAAAATATTATAAATACATCCACTGGAGACAAATTCGAACTTAAATGTGAAAGAAAGAATATTTTTGTATTATTACGGAAAAAGGGTGATCCTCGGCTTTTAAATATATTATTGCTCGTACTGTGTGTACCTATTAGCTTA